ATTACATACTTGTGCATGATGTGAATCAATCATTGTTTTTGCTTCTCCCAGTTCTAAAAATAACCACTTTTTAACTTTAACTTGATACCAATCAAACCAATGGCTGAGTATAATCATTAGTTCTGAATTGTGATAGTGAGGTCCATTATCTGAAATGAAGGTTACCCATTTTGGTCTTTTCTCAAGAGAAGTAATAACCATATGAAGAGATGATACAGTAAAGTATGCATCTTGATATTGATCATCTGACCAATGATCAAATGCACGAACATCCAATTGAGCATTTTCTCCTTTAATAAATAATAATACAGTATGTAAGGTCCATCCACTCTTTCCAAAAAAATCTTCTTTTGTTTCTCTTGTTGATTGTTTAAGTATTTTTATTTTATAATCTACTATAATTAATGCATCATTTTGATCAAGTTCTTTGAGATAAATTTCAAATTGACTATTTAGATATACTTTTCGCACTAAGTGGGCCATATAATAAATCAATTTATCTTGATTAACTAAAAGAGATTCCAAATGGTCTTGTCCTAAATATTCTTCGAGTTGCTTAAAAATTAACCAAAGATTTTCACAACTTGAACAAACAGTCGTATGTAAGTCATTACATATACCTAATGAATATGCAAGACAATGAGAAATGCAAGAATTATGTTTTGGTTTTCAATTAAGATCTACAGATAAATTCTGTTCAAATTCTCTTTTTATATGGTAACGTAACATTTCAATTTGACTAATTATATTTGACTAATAAAAAATTTTTATTAAAAATTTTATTATAAAAAAAAATTTCAAAATATATTTGAATATAATTACTTTTTTATCTGAAATTCTAATATTTGAAGATATTAAACTAATCAAATCATTAAAAATATCATAACCATAATTATAACAGGTTGAACATAATCTACCTAAATCTTCTCAATATTGATATCTTTCTTTTGCTAATTCTGCCATAAATGTTATTCGTTTAATTCCATTTGAAAAAATTTCTGAATATTGTTTCTAAAGAACAGATTTTGTATTTTGAAGATAAAGAATTGGTAGACAAGTTTTAGCATCTACTTTATATGAACTCATTGTAACAATTTCTTTATTAGAAAAAAAATTTCAATTTGTTTTTTAGCTTTATCTGATATGCAGTTTCGTGTAATTAGTGATTGTTCTATAAGAAGACATCCTGGTCCATTAAGTCGCGCATACTTTCAGGCTTCATTCAAGGTATGTGATGTTGTTTTTATCTAAATTATTAATGTCAATATATTAATAAATTAATACAAATCAATAAAATAAGATCAAAATCTTATATACTATACTATATACTTACATTAAGCGTTTTCAATTGTTTTAAATTATAATCCTCAGCAATTATTGAAAGAATTCTTCATTTACCATTAACTTCTTTCTTATTATTATCAATTGCTTTAGCGATAGTTGTAGCCAGTTTTTTCATTTACTCACATGAATTTGAGACACATAATTCAGATTTTTTGGAAGTCAAATTTACATATAATAATCCTTTTTCATATAACATTTGCATTGTTTCTAAATCTTTTTTCCAATTTTCTACTCTTGTCCAAAATTCACACTATATAATAAAAATATAAAATAAATTAGAAAATAAAATATTATAATTTTTTTTATTAAAAAAAAATTATAAATTGTTATTAAATTATACATTACCAATTGGTCATCAAGTGGATAAGGTGTTACATTAAAACATCCTGCTGCTTTTAATAAAGCATGCTAAGCATGAAGTTCTCGTGGTTTAAATGCATAATCAGATATATAAATACTTTTTAAAGCCAATTTTAATTCAATAATATCACTTGTTTGTTTATTTCAATCAGAAAAACTTTATACCACTGAATATTGGTACGTGTATGATGTTTAAGAAAATGTAAATACAATGGTTTCAAATTAGATTCTTCTATCCAATCTTTAGGTTGACATGCTGGACGAAATTTTTTTTTTATAATTTGTTGAGTTCTTGGATCTATTAATCCAAAAAGATTTTTTCCATCAAACATAGGAAATAAGCCAATTTTATTTCAAACATCATTGGAGTTTTTCTTTTGAATACTTCTTTCTTATAAAATTCTTCAAATACTCGAACAATATAAAAACTTTCAGTTATTTTTTGTTCATAAAAAATCTTTCTTTTTTCTTTGATGCTAAGTGATAACATAAACCCACAACCTGCACCTTCATAACCATCCTGACTTGAACTTTCAATATTATATACAAAAATTTGAAATTTGTTAAAATAAACAAAAAAAAGCCGAAAATTAACATCCTCCAAAAGATGTTCAAGAATAATTGATTGATTATCTAATCCAAACTCACGCAGTCCAGAAAATTTTGTTTTTGTTGAAAATATTTGTTGGTACAAGTTTGTTAATACAACACTTGTTGTTTCTTTAATGTCACTTAATTTGCTATTGCTTAACAAAGATATCCAGGTAAACAAGCATTATTTTTGTTACCTTCAATAATTTTCAAGTAAAATTGAACGTCATTTAATTTAATAATGATGCTTAAACCAACACGTATTAGATAAAGTTCGTTAATATTACAGTAGCGGTCATAAGTATCTAACCGTCTGAGATCATCCAAAATTATTATATAACTACCCCTTAAATTTTCCAGAAATATAATATAACACAATACATGATTACCTGTAAATTTATAAGTGTC